TTCATTTTTTTCGACCACGGACCATACGGCGCTCCTCTCCTGGGCTTAATCACTTTTCTTTTCTTTCCTTGTACTTCCCGTATCTTTTCTCACGGAACTCTACATCGGTATTTTAACGGCTGCGGACGAAACGTTTGACGGAAGAACGAAGCGACTTTCGATCGTGAAATATTATTAAATATAAAGTACCTCTTTGAGCACAATATTGATTTAAAAAATGTTTTCTGTCATATTTCGTATAAATAATAATTATGTCTGTAAATAGTAGATACTAGTTGTGTTTCAAAGTATAAGAGAGAAAGAGAGAAGGAGAGGGAGTGAAACTTATGTAAAGCCAGTTATGTAAGAAGAAAGATCGCAAAGTTGCAGCAAATTCCGGCGTCTATCGGTAAGACGATATCGTGTCTTTTTAAGTTGCCGCGACGAAGCTGGAGTTGAGTGTGTTAATTACTAAACATGGGCCGGTTACATCGCTCGCAAAATTGCATGAATGCATGAATTCTGGCGTACGAGCAATTTACGAGTACGGCGCGTTGCACGCGGGCTGGTATTAGAACTAACGTTCGCACTGTTAAAACATTCATAGCGAGGCTATAGGTCGGTTGGCTGATTAGCCCGCGCGTTATATTAATCAACGAAAATTAATCAACTTCCGGGTTTAGAATATGCTCGAAATACGAAAGGTTTTATCCGTTAATTCGTGCCGCGAATTTATAATAAAATTGGCCGTAAAATTGAGCTGGCGCGAAACAAAACAAGACAAAAAAAAATTAATCTTACTTTGACGAAAGCTCGTTTTCGCGAGACTTCTCGTCACTTTTATATTTATTTTTCCCGTTTCTCAAAGCATCGCCGCGCGCTGTTGTTTAATCTTTCATTCCGCGCCATTTGTGATAAAGGGACCATCGTGGCGTAGCTCTTTTCCGCGGTGCTCTCCCGTTCACCCCCTTCGCCCTCTTCCTCCTCGCGTTGCTTTCTCATCGCTTTGATTTTTCTCGAGACGTCTCCGTCGAGAGGCATTCCGCCGCATGAATTCTTAACCGGGCGAAATTAGCGAATTAAAAGTGCGAGAGGGACGGAAAAACTCGCGGACCCGGAACAGACCGCTGCCGGAACGTCGCCGAAAGAAACGAGGGACGGACGAGAGAGAAAGAGGAAGTTATACTCCGAGGAGTCTGAATTCAGGAGCGTTCGTTCCTTTTTCCCCGTTTTACGCGGCGGCACCTCGTAAATACGGATATGCAGGCTCGTTTTCCAAACTGTTTCGCGCGCAGAAGCGGGAGAGACGGAGGAAAGCGTCGGAGGTCGAGGCAAAAGCCTTAATTTTTATTCATGCGCCGACGAAACGGCAATTTTTCGCAGTATTAAGTGAGCTTTAAAATTGTTCGGTCAATTTCGCCGGTAGAACGTGCTCCTTTTTTCAAACATCTCAAGGCTATCGTAGACGCGGCGTCATCACCCTCCGGAAGGGTAACCTGTCTTTTTAACCGCATCGTTTCGCGGGCATAGTTTACGAATTACGTCCAATCGATTCGCAATTCTGTTGCGAAATTCGCCCCGGGGCGAATACCGATGCGTTATCGATAACACGGCCATTACGCATCAGCGTCTTTCGTAACGCGGATTACGCTCATAGACGGATCATTAGGTCATAGATGTTACCGAATGGACACCCAGATTATGGTGCTTTCGTAAGCGTTTAACAATAGCTGCCGCAGTCCTTTGAGATTGTTCGCTACCGTTCTAGTCGCTTTTCGATTTTCGCAGCCAGCGTACACGTGCCCGGTTAGCGGCTCCGGGAAAACCGATTAATCCCTGGCGCGCAGGGCGGCCGATCATTAGATTTTGGCCGGGAAATTGAGTTTTGCCCGCTGCCGAAGGGATAATCTTTGGTAGCCTCTGGCCTGCCTATGCGCACGGACTCTCTCTCTCTCTCTCTCTCTGCATCCCAATCGTCGCATACGTTTACATACACATATACGTGCGTGCATGTGCGTTTACGTGTGCGAATATATATACAGAGGACACTGTGTTCACGCGCTCGCGCGGTCGTATGCGCTTGCGACGGTGGCGGCGCGTAACTTCGGTTCCATTATTGAGCGATCGGACGATCGAAAAATTCCCGCGCTTTTTCGCGCTCGGCCACCTCGGTGGGGCGAGCTGATCTCTCATTGGCCCGAACCGTTTGGTCATCCCTGCGCAAGAAGGGGTGGACGGACCTTTCTCTCTCTCTCTCTCCCCCTCGTTCTCGGTCTGTCTCTCCCTTGTACTCTATACACCCTCGCCAGGTATTTGTCTAGGCTACAGATATTGACCAGCTATCGATATCGCGAACACTCGTCGATATTATATTCTCTCCCCCTCCTCATTCCGACCCCGTTCTTTCGCCCTCTGCCCCCTTTCCCCAACCCTAGGCGCGCGTTTTATCGGCTGTGCGTTCTCTCGCAAATTTCGGTTAATGAATTATATGTATAATATATAGACACGCGTGCATACACACACACACATATATATATATATATATATATATATATATATATGCGCGCGAACGATGTAACTCGTGTGCATATTTGCGGACCGATGGAACGAGGGGGACCGAGAGAGGAGTGGGCGAGTCGGCACGCCGGCGAATTCCCGCCGATTTTTGAACACGAACGACCAATCGCTGTGTGCCCCGCCGCGCCAGAATTTCATCGAAATGAGAAATCAATACGCGGTACAAACGCTATAAACGGGATATTCGTTCTGTTGCAAAAATCCACGCGGTTTGCGAGTATGCTGCTTTGCATTTCGCGTTATTCGCCGATATTAATTAGCACGTGCCAACGTTATTGTTTTTCCGACTTTTATTTTCAGATACGTAATCTTGCATCGCGCAGCAACGTGCGTGCATGTTTCCCATAAATCTAAAATAAATTAATAAAAAAGAGAAAAACACTAAATAAATTCGATTTCGCAGTAGGGTGACTTTTATATTCAATGAAAAACTGCGATATATAACGAATACAATCAATGTTCTTTTGAATATTTGCGAGTCTTTTCCCGTTTGCATTTTTATCCCGAAACGTCATTAATTATAATGTAATAAAGTAGCGATAAATGATGAAATCGTGACTAATTAAGATCGATTACGATCGGGAAATACAAATTGTCAAGAGCTTGTTTGTTTGATAGAAGCAAGATTTATGATTTATCACAGGACGGCTAACAAGTTTGTCGAGTTTGCATGTTGCATGAATATAAATTTTACACCGTCCAATCATTTCTCCTTAAAACGCGTTCGAAAATAGAAATATTCCGATTCGTGGCTAAATGCGACTCGAAGCGTTCTCGCAGCTCTCGTCACGAGAGATACCGTTGCAAGTTTTGCACCCTCTCTTTCAATGCAACCGAGGTCGGGGGCTGTACGGCATACGGGTGCATTTAAAACATTTTATCGGTAGAAGTGTGGAAATCCAAAGCGACCCTCTACGTACGCGCGTGCATACACGCCCAGCTTGAGCACCACCCTGCGGAGGAGGACGATGACGAGGGGTGGGATATGTGGGGAAGGGCGGTTATTAATGTAAGGGGTGGCTGAGCAGTAGTTATTTGGCCGTGGGTGGTCGCAACGTAGAGAGAGAGAGAGAGAGAGAGAGAGAGCGAGACATAGAACGAGAAGACGGGAGGTCGAGAGATGGGCCGGCTAAAATCAATGCGCGAGTCCTTCTTTCGTCGCTATTTACGGTTAAGAAAAGTCAGGCTCGACGCGGCATGGTATGGAAATAAAAAGATAAGCGCGAAAACCAGGTTACGCCCGGAGGATATTCTCGTCAAAACCCAACGACGACGCTTGCTTTTATATCAACCCGGTCCGATCGAGCGTGCGATGACGCGGCTTTTCCATGCTTTCGCACGCACGAATTTATATGTCGCGCGACGCGTTTCTCTCGTTACGAGTCAACTTTAAGAGAACGACCCGACGATTCGTTACGTCGAAACCGTTGGGATCCGTTTACTTTGTCGACGAGCTCTTTCTCGGATCGATTGTTACTTAGGGCTCTCGTATCTCTCTTTCGCTCCGCACCGGACGATTCGATTAAATAGCTCGAATACCCGACGCAGGGTATTCGTCTTTCTCTCTCTCTCTCCTTCTCTTTCGTTTTCGTTTTTTTTTCTACTGCCTCGCCAAAGCAAATCTTCGTTAAGGTCAACGAGATTTTTCCAAGGGTCTAGTATATAGTCGTGCACGCTGACCGTTCGCTTGCGAGGCTAATACCTTCCGAGTGACTACGCTCATCCCTTAATGAAATTCTTTCTACCCGGACGCGACCCATTGGCTCGCCTTTGCAGCCAGATCGGGTTTTCTCATTATTGCGAATCCTTCGTGCGCGCGGCCCGGTCGATGTTATTTTAGTCCGCCTTCTACGCGGCTGCAGATGCATCATTATCTAAATATCGGAGAGCCTCGCGGGGGGCGCGAAAGAGCAGAGCGTATAGGGCAAACGGATGCGCACACGCCTTCGTTGATTATTCGTTCGTTCGTTCGTTTAGCCGAATCTATACTATCTATAAACGCAGAAATATTTTACTTGCACGCATGCACAAAGCAATTTCGCACCAGTGCGCATTGAAGTTAGTCACAATCGGGACGCATGATTGCCCGTACAGACAATAACTGCATATTAATTTATTGATTATTGGCTATAGCCCGGGCGATATAGTATTCATAGAATTTACTATAACAGCAATATATATTCGTGCACTAATTTATTGACCAATAACTCGGCGCGATTCTATAACGACGACGAGCCCTGGGCGCCGCTGCGTGTGGGTGTGCATGGTGGGGTACCAGAGGGTTTAGCGCATATTATTCTGCATTAATTTATGGTCGGCGTGCCGACCGATTACGCACAACGGCCGATTTTAATTCAAAGCCGGCGGAATCGTAATCGCGAAGGGAAGAAAATAAAAAAAAAAAAAAAAAAGAAAGAAAGAGAAAAAATCTCAAAGTCACTCACCCGTATGCAGTCGTGTGTGCTGCTGCACGTGGCTGAGCTGCTTGAACCTGCGGTCGCAGTAGCTGCACTTGTACGGCTTCTCGCCGGTGTGGACCCTGATGTGCTGCACGAGCTGGTGATTGCTGGAGAACGACTTGAGGCACTGCTGGCACTGGTGCGGCTTAACCTCGTTGCCGCCGATCATGCCGGGCCCGACGCCGACGCCGACGCCGACCCCAAGACCGGCCAAACCTCCGGCGATGCCGCCACCGGGTCTTCCCGTCAGCGCACCCGCGCCGAGTTCCCTCGCGTGCATCTGCATCGCGTTCTTGTGCATGAAGATCTGCGAGAAGAACTGCCGGGGTTAGTTGGTACGCTGTACTTTTCGCCGAGCAACGGGGGAATGGCAGATCGACCCTGACCGCCGCGTTCATTCGTCAGTCGATCGCCATCGGTCCTCTCGCGAATGCCGAAACCGGAGAAGAGTCGTCGCATCTCGCCCATCTTTCGCCGACGTACCGATTGTTTTATTATACGAATGATTTCGTAGCGCTCGGAATAATATCTGGCGTTTCGTAGTAAACAAGGCGAGAGATACGGCGGAATATTTATCGTGGAATTGATTTTTTTCTTATTGATAAATAACACGAAGCGTCATTTGCATCGAGACTATAACAATTGTTTTTTTAAAACGAGTACCAAAATAAATATATCTTATTTAATAACGAATAAAGCGTTGTCGCGTTCCAAGATATTATATTCCTTCTCACGGTTTCGGCATAGATGTTCCAAAACGCGCGCAGTTTGATCGATCCTCGTATTGTGTGCTCGCGCTAGTTGTTATAAATATATTAAGAAGTCGTAACGTGTCTCGTTATAAATCGAGAGAGAAATAGCACGTCCGCGAAATAGTGTTGCGGCGTTGTATCAACGAACTCGAATAGTATTGATAGTTGAACTTGACGATTAGAAGTTACCAAGGTCGTGGTATTGCAAGGCCGAGAGCTAACGTTTATGATTGCGGAACGAAGGTACGGTACAACTTGACCTAGTGATCGATACTACAATCCCTGTTTCTCTAAAATCAGTGCCGAAGCTCGACAAAATTTGCAGCTCGGTATATAAGCAACCATACCGTGCCAGTTTGAGTATCATGAATATATATATCATACACGTGTGTTTTATATAAACGCAATGTTTTGACAAATTTCAGTATACGATTCACATACACAGTATATATTAGCAAGTCTTTAGTACGCGTGTTTACATCTCATCCCGTATTATTGAACATTCTTAATGTTACGATGTTATATTGTTGTAGCAATCTATCATTCAAGTGCTTACAGTTTATCAAACTTGTTCCCATTGATTTCGATAGGAATCTCGAGGCGGATCGGTGGAAAAAATCGCGTTCGCGCGTGTAAAGAGAGCTCAATCTGAGCGACTCTGCTTCTTCCTGAACGCCGCGAGGAAGAACCGAAACTGATAGAACGGCGGACCGGGCCGCGTAACCGATGGAGGAACGTTCAATTTCGGGCTCTCCTCGTTCTCTCGGGGAACAGGTGTTGCGCCACTACGATAGGCAGGCACGGTGTGGGTGTAGGTGAACGAACGAAAGGGTTAACGTTAAGGCTTGTACAGTCCGCGGCAAGAGTCGGCTGAAGGGAGAAAGATTGAAACTCGGCGGGGAATTAAAGGGGAGGATGGGCGCGCGGATAGGATGGACTCTCGCGCGAAGACGGTGGAAGGATTTTATTAAAATATGTTAAAACTGTAATTAAAATCGAAAAATCTCGTGAGAAGTTTTAAGAATCTTAGGTCACCCCTTTCGCGACGAGGAGCACCGGGCTGCGAGAGAGCGCGATTCGAGTGAGAAGGGGCGAGAGACAGAGAGAATTAAAATTGTCACCGGGGGTTCTCAAGTTTCCGTGAGTTCGAACCCTTTCCACCGCCGTTCGCCGTTCGACGTGACTGCGGGATACTTGACGGCCGACGACGATCTTCGCTGGGCATCTCTGCCTGGACTCTCTTTAATCCCCGTGGGAGAGGGAAAGGCTGCCCGGCACGATTTTATTCCGCGTCTTTTTCCTCGCCTTTTTCTCTTTTACCTCCGCCCGGACACGGTCGACCGGCTGTTGTTCGTCGCCGATTTGAATGAAATTGCTCCTGTTTTGCGGTACTCGAGGGGGAAAGGTTACGGCGATGCTTCGTTTAATCGATGTATGTACGATCCTACCGAGCCTCATGTCAGTTGCATAATGCGTTTTAGTTGCATAGCTCTTGATGGATATACGAAAAATTATTCATGCCTGCGGTATCGAATATACGCGGCAGACGAATAATACAATATAATAATTGTTTTAAATTGTATAGTTTGTAAAAATCGCTTATATTGTACCGGATGTAATCGAGTGTACTTTTGTATTTCTCTCTCCGTATTGTGTAATATCAATCTGTTTATTTGATATCTTAAAGATGTCTATGTAATTGCTTGCCAACACAGATTGTCCCTTTTCGTATATCCTTTGCCCCTCGCGAACGGACTTTCACGATGATTAACCGGGAGTCGGGAATGACAGAAGGGTTCGTGAAAAACGATTTGACGCCGAGGCCAAGTCGCGTCGCGAATTTTTAACGACTGTCTCGAGTGGCCCATCGAGATTTCTTTAAACTTTTCAGTAGAGAAAGACATTTCGTCTGTCGAATGACTCATATCTTTGCATGTTAATAATATCAGATTTCTTCGCACAACTTGCATTTATTCTGCAAAGCGAGCGTACGAATACATTTGGTTTATTTTGATAAAAATTGCTTAATTTGAAAAACGCGCGTTTTTACAAATTAAATTGTAATGTAATCAATGATACCTACAATGCTATTATTTTTTAACGATTCTCAGAGATATTAAGACAATCGTGCGGGACTTTGGCAGCATCGACATGCGAACAATGTCGGCTATTATTCTCCGTAAAAGTTTTTCGACTGGAGTTTGGTGAGAATACCGCGCTTTTCTTAAATTTCAAGACTATGCGGTCATTAATCAAATTTTTATCTCCTGGCAGAAAATTGCGTCCCGACGCCCGACTATACTTGGCGGTTTGAATCTTTTTTTCTGATTTATCGCCGTCGCCAGCCGCGAGAAAAAAAGAGATAGAGAGAAAAGTCGCGGTCCCGCCTGGGGCCCGCGAGGAGAAATGAAAAAAGAAAGAGGAAAACGGAAAGAGTTGGCCCGCGGGTTGTTGGCTTAATGTCCTTAATAATGGAAAAATATATCAAGTGACACCCACTGTATTTCCTCAGAAACATTTCTCCGATCCTACTCGTCTCTTCCATATCCTCGCCTCTCTTTTCTGCTTGTTCCCCCCATTTTTTATTAACTCCGAAACCGCTCGTTAAACTCTATCCGCATTCCTCCCTTAATCCGGTAAAATCTAAAACCAGATCTAGATAAGAAGAGCGACAAGTATTTCCAGTCGAGATTCGTGAATATGTAGAAAAATAATTTCTTATTCATGCGTATTTTATTTCTCGATATGTGTAATAATATCTTTGACACAAGCGAGATTTCCCGCTTAAAAAATGCACGCACGACCTCGTTCCCCGCATTCGCGGCAGGTTTCTTTTTGATGCTGATGCTCCAAGGGATCGTTAGCATTTCAGGAGGAGCCGACGCGCAACCCTTTCTTTTTTTCCTTTCTCTCTTCCCTCTTACAGTGAGTTACGTCCGTGAGTAACGTCGGGCTACTCCAAGTGGGCTACTTTATACACTTGGAATACAAAGCAAAGGTCTCACCTGCTGACCATATGCCTTCTCTCCACGCGCGCGCGCACACACGTACATGCACGCAAACACGGCGCTCTCTGTCCACCCACGCATACTGGCCATGCAGCGGCTCACATATGGTATATCGTTACCCGTGTACGCGGACGTGTGCACGCGTACACGGGTGCGTGTATGTGGCGAACGCATACGTGTACGAAGACAACGTCCAATCTAACCTAGCATGACCTGACTCATTCGCGGACCTACCTATCCACCTTTCTGTCTAAACTACCGCCGCGGATGCTACGTACTGTAATATAAAGGAAAAGAGGGAGAGTGCGCGCCATCCCCTATAATTGTTGGCTTTTAATCCGCCTGAATCGTTGCACGTTGATTCTCCGCGTGGTATGTTGTCCGTTTCCGGTCGGCGCGGACGACCGTCCGCCGATCAGCTGCGCGAAAAAGGACGATTTGATTTCTCCCGAACCGATCCTGTCCTGTCTCGCGACCGTTTTATTTCTCGCATCTGCCTAATGTTAGAGATTCGAATGTAGAAGCGCGCTAACCTTGACTCGTTATGCGATATCTCGCAACGGGAGCAACTCCTTATCTATATATGAATCGTTTTAATTACGCGCAGAGATGAGCCATCAAACTTACAGGAATATATATATTTTCTTACTAACTGGAATAGTTTTCCAAAAGTCTTTACGTAGATACTTTCGCTACAGTTTCATATTAATTTTTATTGTTTTATATTAAAAAAAAAAAAAAAAGAATAGAAAAAGGACGCGATTTTAATAAATATATTGCGGGTGTGTATGATTAGATCTTCGCAGAACGAGATTTTGGTCATCGCTTTAAAAAAACACTACCTCTCTTTTTTTTTACCTTCTGCTACGGTAGGCAAAATCGGGCTTCCTGTCGGTGGATAGGATCAAATAACACAACGCGGCACGTCGAAATTAAGGACGCCGAAAGGTAGTTGTTATCCTACGCGGGGCTTGTGTGGGGCTGGCCAGTAAAAAAAAGAAAGAAAAAGGATCAGGGCGAGATCGCGCGATAACGGACTATCGATCGTATTAATGTGCGTTGGCGGACAGCCGGCTCAGTCCAAAGTCAAGAGTGTAGAGAGATCGCTAGGCAAAAGTCATCTATCGATGATCAGCCCGGAGGGCTTTACGCTCTCGTCTTGTCGTTGATATGTGCAATGCTATATTTTACCCGGCTCGGTTTACTCGACATGATGGATATCTGTAATAGCTATGCTATTTCTCTCCGGCGTCGAACTAATCGTAAACAGCGGGACGAATGAAATCTCGACTTCGTCGTGACTGCTGATAAAAAAGTAATCTTAATCCGCGAAATTTTCTAGTCGCGAAAATTGCACCGATTTTCACGGAGAGCGATCAAATATACAACGGCCATTTTTAGCGCGGCTTCTCGAAAGTGTTAATTATTTAAGGATCGTTTTCGGCCGCGCTCCTGTCACGTCGATATTTTGAAAGACCGCTCCTCTCGCTCTGCGGAATGATTTTAGCGACGCGTGAATCTTAAAGACGAGAGATCCGAATGGAGAGGATAATGTACGC